ACCTGGACCGATGCACATATGTGCCTGGTCCTACGTTGTAGCTGACTGACTGACTGAGTTCGGGTTTCGATGCAACCCAATCCTGAAGCAACATTTTACGTTTCGAGGGAGAGAATCGCATGCCGAACATGCTTGCATTGTTGCTTATAGTGGTCAGGAGACTACATTTTGTCAGCGTCATCGATCTTAAATCACACCAAAGCTGTAACTCTGCAGTCAGTGGCAGAGTAGGCAAAGACGACGGAGAGACAACGACGAGTGTCACTTTTTCCGAGTCCTCACCGTTCCGTTTGGTCGGACAGCACACAAACGACTGTCTACTGGAATGCAGTCTAAGAGAGCTAGTTCTGTTCTGGGACTCAATTCTATACTTACGCCGGCGAGGCCACAAAAAGCAGCATCAGGGCTTCCAGATACATGAAGCGTGAATCGAGATGGTTCTTTGTTTTGATACCCCGACCTAAGCTGCTACCTTGACGCGGTGGTCGGGCTTGCCTATCGTGATGACCCAACCGAGCTTTATTGGCTGGAACATATGTTCCTGTAGGTTCTACCATGCCAGGCAGGTCGATTGGTGAACGGTAAGACTAAAAGCAGCAACTCAAGGTCTGAGGGCGAAGTCGTACTTCTGACTGTACAGAGGTGTGACAGCAGTAAGGTGTTTCCCTCGGACAACCAGCATGACAGCGATGCTGCCTTCCCACAAGGAGGGGTGGGGTTAGAAAAGGTCGACCCTAAAAATGTCACACCTCACCTTACCTCACGGATCTCCGTCTCCGGCGGTAAGGCCCTTTGAAGAACGGAGCTAACACGTCAAAAAAACCCACGAAAAGGCCGTGCGCGACCGGCCTCAAGCAGTTGTCCCTTGGGCTCTGCGGTCACGCTCCCAGGTCGTTAAGACCAACACTAATCCAATTTCCTTTTCAGGTTCCTCAAGAAATACCCTTCCACGGTGTGGGCAGCCGGGAAGTGACACCAGCCCTCATACCCGTAACAGCACACGAGACCAAGTTGGTCACATTCAAATCCTTCCTACACCTCCTAATACCTCTCTTATCTCCATGACTAACCCTCCTCACGTCTCTTTATCACCTCGCACCGCTAGAGCAAACGATTCAAGTACGTGGAACGCTATTCCTGGTCTCCTGAAACCACGCTCTAAACTACACGTAGGAGCTTTTAACGTACGAACACTTTGCCAAATAGGACAGCAGGCTTCCTTAGCTAGGACTTTAGAATCTCGCGCCATCGATGTGTGCTGCGTCTCCGAAACGCGCATACAGGATCCAAGTAGCGTCATTCATTTGACCTCACCATGCCAAAATAAAGAACCGACTCGATTTACGCTTCGTGTATCTGGAAGCCCTGATTCTGCTTCCCGTGGCTTCGCCGGCGTAGGTATAGCATTGAGTCCTAGGGCAAAACTAGCTCTCTTAGAGTGGATCCCAGTAGACAGTCGTTTGTGCGCTGTCCGACTGAATGGAACAATGAGGATCCGAAAAGATAGGGACACTCGTCGTTGCCTCTTCGTCGTCTCTGCCTATTCTCCCACTGACTGCAGCTCAGATGATGTAAAAGATGAGTTTTACAGAAAGCTTTCGGACCTTCTCCGAAAAGCTAAGCGCTCGGATGTAGTAATAGTGGCCGGTGACTTTAATGCTCAAGTAGGTAAACTAAGCGATAGGGAAAGACACCTAGGTGGATCTTATGGTGTCGTGGCTCAAAGAACAGATAATGGCGACCGTCTGTTGCAGCTATGCTCGGATAACCGCCTGTTCCTTGCAAATACTAACTTTAAGCATAAGGAAAAACATCTTTTAACATGGCGACCCCCTAATTCGTCCCAACGTTGGACCCAAATAGATCACATCGCTATCAGCCACCGATGGAGGGGCTAGATAGAAGACTGTCGCTCATTCTGGAGCACATGCCTAGATTCAGATCATGCTCTAGTGCGAGCGCGTATTTGTCTGTGTCCCACTGGACGTAGGAAAGACGCTGCAAGGAAACCTCTTAGGGGCCTACTTAATGATAGTCAAGCTAAGAGTATATTTCAGGAACAACTAGGAAAACAGTTAGGCAGCCATGTATGTGATGCATACCCCGAAACAGCGTGGAATGATATTCAAAAAGCTGTGGAAACAGCAGTGATATCTGCTAGTACGGTTAACCACAAGGTTAGGGAGAAACACTGGATCTCAGCAGCATCTATCGCACTGATAGATGCTCGGAAACTCATTCCACCTGGCTCTGAACATAATGAAGATCGGAGTCAGCTTAAGCGCAAGCTGACAAAAAGTCTACGCAATGATCGCGAACAGTGGTGGGTAGCGAAAGCAAGAGAGATGGAAAAGGCAGCGGCAATAGGTAATAGCAGACAATTGTTCAGACTCGTTAAGGAAACCGGAATTAGGAACCCGACCGTTAGCGAAACAATCTCAGAGAAAGATGGACATATTATTCATTCTCAATCCAGGAGATTGGATCGATGGGCAGAACACTTTAGGGATCAGTTAAACTGGCCTTCAGCCACACTTCGGTTTCCCACGATCTCTAGTCAACCTGAATGGCAAATTAATGTAGGTCCTCCGTCCCTTTACGAAGTTGAAAAAGCCATAGAAAATCTGAAACGAGGGAGAGCAGCAGGCCCTGACAGGCTTACTCCTGAGATGGATGGTGGTCCAGTATTAGCAATGAGATTAACCGAGGTCTTAGGTAGAATTTGGGAACTGGACGTAATCCCATCTGACTGGTCTCAATCACTGATTGTGCCAGTCTATAAGAAAGGACATAAGTCCTCCTGTGACAATCACAGAGGAATCAGTTTGACTAATATAGTGTCTAAAATACTAGCCTCAATAATACTTCGACGCCTAATCAAAGCTCGTGAAGAGCAGATTAGAGAAAACCAGGCCGGTTTTCGACCTGGACGTGGTTGTATAGATCAGATATTCACACTACGTCAGGTTCTGGAACACAGACACACATTCAGACGCCCCACAATGGTAGTATTTCTCGACCTTAAGGCGGCATTCGACTCTGTTGATCGTGAGGTTCTATGGCAGTGTTTGTCACTGAAAGGAGTACCAAAGAAGTACATTAACCTTATAAAGGCTCTCTACTCGAACACAACTGGTAAAGTGAGAGCTTATGGCGAACTGTCATCAGAATTGATTACCTCAAGTGGTGTTCGTCAGGGCTGTCCACTCTCCCCATTCTTGTTCAACTTTGTGGTCGACGTACTTTTAGAGATAACACTCTCCTCATCTAAATTTCCAGGAGTTGAACTTCTACCGGGAAGTTCACTTGTTGACTTAGAATATGCAGATGACATAGTTTTATTTGGTGAAGACGCTGACAAAATGCAGAGTCTTCTGACCACTCTAAGCAACAATGCAAGCATGTTCGGGATGCGATTCTCTCCCTCGAAATGCAAAATGTTGCTTCAGGATTGGGTTACATCGACACCCGAACTAGTGATAGGGAGTGAAGTAGTTGAGTGTGTCGACCGCTTCACTTATCTCAGAAGTCTCATCAACCCTTGTGGTCTGGTTTGTGACGAAATCTCAGCACGGATACAGAAGGCTCGACTAGCTTTTGCCAACTTGCGTCATTTATGGCGTAGGCGAGATATCCGTCTATCAACCAAAGGACGGGTTTACTGCGCAGCAGTTCGTTCCGTCCTACTTTATGGCAGTGAAACATGGCCGGTAAGTGTAGAGGATATACGTAGGCTACTAGTATTCGATCATAAGTGTCTTCGAAACATTGCTCGTATATCCTGGGACCATCGAGTAAGTAACACAGTTGTTAGGAAACGGGTACTAGGTAAGGATAGCAAATCAATTGATGAAGTAGTGAAACTTTATCAGTTGAGGTGGCTGGGACACGTGTTACGTATGTCCAACGACCGACTGCCTCGACGTGCTATGTTCAGTGGTATAGGAGTAGGTTGGAAGAAAGCTAGGGGCGGCCAAACCAAAACATGGCACAAGTCCATGAAGTCACTGACAAGTGGACTGAGTCATGTTGGTAGGTGCAGACTACCTGGTTGGGGACCGCGAGATGATAGCAACCGATGGTTAGAGACCCTGAATGACATGGCTCAAAATCGTTTGCAATGGCGCAGGTGCATCCACTCTCTGTGTTCTCCCAAATTCTAATCTTCTGAATTCTTCATGTCCCTTTTTTCCTCTTTCCAAATTTATTTCACTGGATTATACTCTTTAAATAACATCTCCAAACCCTAATCTTCCCGATTACTGCTTATACTCTTATTACCTCTACCACTACTGGATTTGAATCGACAACTGCATCTCTGTGCTTATGTGGTGTGGCAACTCGAACTGATGTACGTACGTACGAAGTTCTACGTTGTTACTGACTGACTGACTTGTTTTGATATGGTGATGTCAAATGAATGACACTACTCGGATCCTGTATGCGCGTTTCGGAGACGCAGCACACATAGATAGCGCGAGATTCTAAATTCCTAACTAAGGAAGCCTGTTTTCCTATTTGTCACAGTGTTTGAACGTTGAAAGCTCTTACATGTAGTTTGGAGTGTGGTTTCAGGAGATCAGGAATGACGTTCTGCGTACTCGAATCGTTTGCACTAGCGGTGCGAGGTGATGAAGGAACGCGAGAAGGGTTTTTCGTGGAGATGAGTTATTAGAAGTTGTGGGGAGGATTTGAATGTGACCAACTTGGTCTCGTGTGGTGTTACGGGTATTAGGGGTGATGTCGAGTTCGTAAGTCATTTTATCTCATTAGTCCACATAAAATTGATAGACGCTTCGAATCAGATTAACATCTAGCCAAACAAGATGTTAGATGCAACATATATAGTCTAGCCGTATCTGACCAAAAATACTTTTCGTCTCAATAATTATTACTCCAAACCTTGCATTTGTCAGAAAAATGTGTGTTTATGTCATTTATGAAAGCCACTCATTAGAAAAGCTTCTTTTAAGTAACAAAGTGTGTATTCTTTTTTTCAGAGGAATATGATGCGTACATTATTGTATCATTTGTCAACGCAACATTAGTGTTGTCCATTGGGGAAACGGTTGAAGAAGTCACTGATTCAGGATTTCTGGGTACAACTCCTACACTTACATGTTCACAGTTGGGCGATGATGCACTTGTCCAAGTTTATCCTGATGGTATTCGTCATATTCGGTCTGACAAAAGAGTAAACGTTTGGCGTGCACCTGGAAAGAAAACCATTACCAAATGTGCTGTTAATCGTCGACAAGTGGTTATAGCCCTTACTGGTGGCGAGCTAGTTTATTTTGAAATGGATATGACTGGACAACTAAACGAATATACAGAAAGGAAAGAAATGCCAGCAGATGTTATTTGTATGGCTCTTGGACGAATTCCTGCAAATGAACAGCGTTCTCGGTTTCTCGCCGTGGGCTTGGCGGATAATACTGTCCGTATTTTATCACTGGATCCATCAGTAAGTTTCCACCATTTTTCTTTCTGAATAATTTGCTAACACTTCTGTTATATGGATTTATGTTGTTTTTGAGATGCATCCGGAAACAGTGTTACCATTCGCCTAAACTTAGTGTGACATATGTAAGTCATGAAAAATATTTGTACTCAATAACGAATTACCGGTTCACATACTTGGCTTTCGGTCACATGTATTGTGTGAGCTACCGATAATTCCTAACTGCTTGAAGCAAAGCGCGTTCTACAACTGTGATTCGGTTGTTAGTCGTCGTACTTAAACTAGTAAGTCGAGGTTTTATGTATGAGAGATTTACAATTAACTCTATGTATGTCCGGGAATTAACTAAGTAATCTTTATTATGGTATGGCTGAGTCAGAGGGTGGGGCAGTATTATATTTTGGCTAAAGTGTGATAAGGTTGTAAACCTCTCTCTGATCCATTAATTGAGCTTTATGCTGCGCGCGCTAACAAGTTGAAACCGGTTGAATGTAAGCTCGAATTATCCATACTAAACATTGATACAAACTCACAATGTCTGTTGTTCGTTATCAGAGGGTTTTGTTAAGGTCGGCTTGACAGGTCTAAATCATTTCTATTAGTTTAAATGTCTGTTCTCTAGCTTACTATAAGTAGTGGTCATTTTACTCCTTGGCTTTTCACTACTCGTATTAACTACTTTTTGTCTCCTAGTTCTTCACTGTTTTATCACTATTTTTTATCATGTACGTATGTTTATTTTCCTTAGTCATTTGGTTTGCTAAGAGTAATGATATGAACCGTTTCACTATTATTCCAGGTTATTTCAAACTGAAAATGAAATCTATCCTAACTTCAAGTTAAATTGTGATCAGAGATATCTAAAATTGTAATAATTGAAGTATAGAATTATGTGGGTAGACTTATAGTTTATACGCCTTATACCAATGAAGGGCATATCTACCTGTGCACGGTTTCATAAACATCTTTCGAATCACTTTCTGTGTCTTGACTATCCACTCATCTAGAATCATTTACTCATAGTAACTTTTCAGACCTCTATTGTTTTACAAATTTCGTAACGTGTCGTCTACTCTTAAAAATCTTAGGATTGTCTCACTCCCCTCACAATGCAAGGAATACCATCTACTCCGGAATCGCTTTGCATAGTTGAAATGGGAACGAATGAACCATCGCCTTCTACTGATGATGGGGAGTCAGAAGCAACATCTTCAGGTGGCATCCTTTACATGAACATTGGTCTGATCAATGGTGTGTTGTTGCGGGTTATCCTGGATCCAGTCACTGGTGAACTATCCGACACACGTACACGGTACCTAGGTACTCGTCCCGTAAAGTTATTTCGCATAATGATGCAAGGAGGAGAGGCAGTTCTATCTGTTTCGAGCCGCTCTTGGCTTAGTTATGCATATCAAAATCGATTTCATCTCATACCACTTTCTTACGAAGCACTAGAATATGCATCTGGTTTTTCTTCCGAACAATGTCCTGAAGGTATTGTAGCGATTTGCAATAATTCTTTACGGTAGGTACTTGTAGTATTTTACTTATTGTAAGTAAAAATATTTGATCATGGAAGATCACTTTAGCAGAAAAAATGTAGACTTTCTTGTAATTTTATAATCACATAACTGTTTCATAAATTGTGGTGACCGTCTTTATTATAAATGAGTAAGTGATGAAAACTCGGGTTAACTTAGCAGTTACCAGTTTAATTTTCTTCATGTCTAAGAAGAAAACTAACTTAAAGTGTAGCACTCGCTATTGGGCAATGACAGCTAAAACTACTGAAAATCATCGGGGGCTCGTTTTAAGATATCAGTTGAGGATGCTAGATCCCCAAAGATCATTTGACAAACGTCTCATTTTTGTAATAAAATCATGGAAGTTTGAATTTCTCATTGTCGCTCCAAAAGAGTGCAATTTTTACCTGCACTTGAAATGACTTTAAATGTTAATTCGTCTTCTCTCTTAGTACTCTATTAGGTAACGTTTTCAAGGACATTTTTGTATTGCATATATACGGATGTGTTGCGTGTTTGTTGTTCATTCGTTCTTCCGGTCCACTTGTGGGATTATATTTTGTATTGGCTGAATCTGGTCTTCTTCCTCTAGCGGGGCTAGAGCACAGGGAAATAGCTTAACTTGTTCTGTTCTTGTGTTGCTGGCTTTCATTCCGTTCAAAGGTCCTAGGTAATATCTTAGCTTCTCGAACAGCAAAAAGTGAACTGATACGTAATTTATATTAGTATCAACCTTCGAGTTTTTAAGGATATTCTTAAAAATATAGTCACTGTTTTGTGACGTAACTTTTTTGCAGTTGTTACATATTTTTTTGATCGGAAGTTGATTAACTGTGAAATAAACATATCATACGGTAGCAGCTTTTCGTGTGCAAACTTACTTACTTACTTACACCTGTTACTTCTCATGAAGGAACATAGGCCACTCATCAGCATTCTCCATTCAACCCTGTCCTGGGCAATCCTTTCCAGCTCCTTCCAGTTGTTATTCATCCTTGTGTATGCTGTGGCCTACTGATGCAGAGACTGCTGCTACACTGGTTGTCTTTATCTGCATTTGTTCATGTGTATGTGATAGGAGGGCTAGGTCATCTGCGAAGTCCAAATCGTCTAATTGATTTTGAGCTGTCCATTGTATTCCGTGTTTTCTTTCAGATTTCGAGGTCTTCATAATCCAGTTGACCACCAAAAGAAAGAGGAAGGGAGAGAGTAAACAGCCTTGTCTGACTCCGGTCCTTACTTGGAATGCATCTGTCAGCTGTCCTCTATGCACAGCCTTGCACTGTAGTCCGTCATATGAGTTCCGGATAATATTGACAATCTTCTCAGGAACTCCGTAGTGTCGAAGAAGTTTCCACAACGTCCTCCTATCTACACTGTCAAATGCCTTTTCGTAATCAATGAAGTTGATGTACAGTGACGAGTTCCACTCAATTGATTGTTCGACGATGATCCGTAGTGTCGCAATTCGGTCTGTGCACGACCGATCCTTACGGAATCCAGCTTGTTGATCTCGAAGTTGGGCGTCTACTGCATCTTTCATCCGGTTCAGCAAAACTCTGTTAAAGACTTTTCCTCGTACTGACAGTAGTGTAATGTCTCTGTAGTTTTCACATTTGCTCAGGTCTCCTTTCTTTGGAATCTTGATGAGGTGTCCTTCTTTCCAGTCCATCGGTACTTGTTCCTCCTCCCAAATCTTCTTCAATAGGTGACGCATGTTTGTAGTTACTTCGATGTCTGACTTCAGTGCTTCAGCTGGTATATTGTCGGGTGCTGCTGCTTTCCCGATCTTGATCTGTCTGATGGCCATTCTGATTTCTTCCGTCGTTGGTGGATTGACATCTATAGGAAGATCTGTGTGCGCTGCGTCGATGTCCGGTGGATTCATTGTAGCCGGTCTATTCAGGAGTTCCTCGAATTATTCTACCCATCTGTTCCGCTGTTGTTGAATTTCAGTGATTGGCCTGCCTTCTTTGTCCTTGACCGGTCTCTCTGGTTTACTGTATTTCCCTGCTGGTTTCTTCGCTGTATCGTAAAGTTGTTTCATATTTCCTTCCCTTGCAGCTTTTCCGCCGTCGTTGCTAGTTCTTCCACGTATTTCTTGTCGGCTCTAATGCTCCTCTTCACTTGTTTGTTTGCTTCTATGTATTCAGCTTGTGCTTGGACTTTCTCTGTTCGTGTTCGACGGTTGTTAATTGCTGTCTTCTTGTTCTTCCTTTCTTTTACCTTGTCCAGTGTTTCTATAGAGATGCATTCCTTTTGATGACCCAGAACCTCTTGACACGTTGAAGTTAATGCTTCTTTGATGTTTTTCCAGTTGTCCTCCATAGTAGTTTCTTCTTCCTTCTTCGTTGTATCTCCTCATTTCCGTTGCTATTTGACTGGTCTTCCCGGTCTCCCACATTGTTCGGACGTTCCATGTACCTATAAAATTTTTTGCTCGGGTTGTTAGAAGGGGCATCAGCCTTGTGGCTTTCGAAGGAACTCGGCTTTCACTGTGAAGCGTCATAATTCTTCTTTTAAAGTAAAAACTAACTTTCAGGGCAGAGTTTAAATGGGTTGAATTATTTTTTCTGGTAAGCGTTTTTTTAGCGAGTTAGTTTTCTACGGGATGGGGACGCTAACCCTATGCCTAACCCTCCTCCTTTACCCGGGCTTGGGACCGGCAGTAACTCTGGAAGAGCTACAGGCGGAGTTTTCGTGTGCAAAGCTGTAATTAATATGTCTTTGTTTCTGTGTATACTATTGACACTAGTAAGATTGTATTGGCAAACCACAACAGAATAACAGTCCATCTATAACTATTCAGAATTAATTTAAGTGATTATGATATGTATTATTTGAAAAAAAACGACACCATGTAAACTATTGGCAATTGCAAACTTATCAACTCACTGTCGATCTGTTTCTCGAAACGACTGTATTTTATGCTTAGTAGGGTATAGTAATCTCATGTAGGATTACGTCAAACAAATATATATATATATATATATATATATATATATATATATATATATATAATTCTGGTAATCTTCCTTTTTTATGAGTATATTTTATCAATTCATTGGCCAAATTCCTTTACAAGTGCAATGTTGTGTTTAGATCTAATCACTATTTTAATTCAATTTATGTAGTAGGACAACCTTTAAGATTGCATATTTCACTGATTTACTAGATTGTGGGTTAAATTTTATGGCTTTTTACTAGAATTTACTTATGGTTCCACTTGTTACATTTGTTGTTGTACAATTTGCGTTCATATTTAGGATTATGGCACTTGAGAAACTTGGCGCAGTATTTAATCAAATTAGTTATCCACTCCAGTATACACCTCGTAAATTTGTTTTTCATCCGGATTCAAATATTACTTACATAATTGAAACGGATCACAATAGTTATACAGATGATGTTAAAAATACTCATAAACGTCAAATGGCTGAGGTAATTATCTTTTTTTTCATTGGAAGTTGTCTCTAGTTTGGCTGTACTACACAGGTAATCAAATCATGGGGTGTATCATATTTTTGATTAGTGGTTGAACTGAAATCATTTGGATATCACTTCTTGAACCTAGGTAAATTGTACTTGTGTTTTAAGTGATTCATCTACGCGATAGTCGGATTGTAGTAAATAATTTCTCATAAGGCATAAATTATACTTGTCCTAGTAAATGCATGGTTTCGAATCTGGCTCATTAAACTAGCAATTAGTTTAGTAACTCTACTTTAGCGAGGAACACTTCTGTGATTCTACTGCTGTTTTATTCACAGTTAAACGGTGTAATTTTGTAGTTTTTTACGTAATCCATATATCTTAGCGACTTACGATAGTTTAAAGCGGTCTTATGAGATGGTGGAGAAGATTTGTAGCTCAGGTGGATGATTTTGGTGGAGTTTTGTTCTCTGAGCTGGATGGATTGGTCGTGTGTTATCATAAGGTGTACCATTTTTCTTCCACTTTGCTCAACTATTTTCGATCCTAATGGGCAGTTGATTGGAGGTCTATATCTTACACTTGTTGGTAGAACATGCTAACGAAGACACTCATGGAGAAAATATAGTTGTTCTCGAGTGGAAGCCTGCCTTTTGGCGAAATTCTTCCATTTTCGAACAACGAGAAGCGTATTACGCTCATATGATTTTGAGATGGTGGAGAAGATTTGTAGCTCAGGTGGATGATTTTGGTGGAGTTTTGTTCTCTGAGCAAACCATCCAGCTCAAAGAACAAAACTCCACCAAAAAGCGATCTTATTCTGTAGCTATGTGGTTTCCAGCGCAACAGTGGAGAAGTCACACAAGTATTTAGTATTGGGTTGAATTTGGTAGATTTTATTTTAGCCTAATTGATTACCGAACACACATGTTTCCACTTGTTTTTACTAAATGGAGTTTAATCTACACATTAATATGTTAATCTTGTAATATTTTCCCCAAAGGAACGAGAAATTCTGTTCACATATTTAAGACTTTGTCTCTAACATTTTTTTCGCTGATTTATTTTTCTATCCTGCTATCTACAATATAAATTAATTACAGTGTCTTGATGGAAAGACTTTTAGAAATGTTAAAGATGTGAAATATTCTTTTTAAATCACTTATCTTTCTTTGTTTTTCGAAGAAAATGATAGCCTCTGCTCTTGGTGGAACTTCTGAGGATATGGTTCTAGCGAAAGAGTCCGCTGCTGCTTTTCTTTCGGAAAATCTTCCTGAGGCAATATTTGGTGCTCCAAAGGCTGGGCCTGGTATGTGGGCAAGTTTACTGCGATGTTTTAAACCATTGGATGGAAGCACATGTCAGATAATACGATTCCCACAAAATGAAGCTGCTCATGCCTTAACCTTTGTCAAATTCAATAATCAGTAAGGTTTATGACTAGTTGTTTTTGTTGCTTTTCGTGGATAGTCGATGTATTTCTTATTTTATCTCTTTGAATTATCTTGGTGGTTCGCATATGGTTTAACATGCCACACTGTTATTAGTTCACTGCTCACAAATAGTTAAACATTTATCCCATAAATTATCAATACATATTTTTTTTATTTGCCTTGTCTAATAACAAAATAGTCCAGCTGAACAATTCCTTGTTGTGGCTCTTGTCAAAGATCTTATCCTCAATCCACGTTCATGTTCTGGTGGTTGTTTAAAAACATATCGAATTTGGAACAATGGTGAGCGTCTTGAATTCCTTCACGAAACACCAGTTGATGATTTTCCAGCAGCTCTATGTGCTTTTCAAGGTCGTCTTCTTGTGGGTGTCGGAAATCGATTACGAATATATGATCTGGGGAAAAAAAAGTTGTTGAAAAAATGTGAAAACAAGGTACATTTCTATATCTGATACAAAGCTCGTTGAGCTACAAACATTTTATATTTATAGATTATGAAATTATTTGAAGTACAATGACTTCAACTTAGGTTTTAAACTTTTTGTGTATGGGTTGATAATATTGCTTCTGTATCTAGGTAAGTACTAGTTGAATTGAAACTTTTCACTGCAAAGTTGTTGAAATTTGAGTGTGTTTGACTGTTAAGGGACTATTGTGCATATGGTTACCAACATAAACAAGGTTTCTTTATACTGTCACGTTTCAAAATGCCTATGTTTGAAGCTATGATTCATTTAGTTGAAAAACATTCTGAAATTCTTTATTTCATGTAAAGTACGAATTTTCCCAACCTAAGTAAATGAGTACGTGTTGTTCTGATCACGATAATCTATCTACATTTTTAAAGTTCATAGTTAGTGTTAATGACTGGAGATGCTTCTGACCTCTTTAACCACTAGTCGAGTTTAAATTTATTGAGTGGAAATAAACCAGTAGTTGGTGGGATAAAGTGCTCTACTGTCAATTATCAAGTCATAGGTTTGAACCTACCTTCCCCTGTTTCTGAGTCCTGCACTTTATATATGATAATAGTGATACAACTTTTATTAGGAATATTTTAAAGAAAAGAATTGTGCAGTCAAACGAAGATATAGCATCAGTCAATTAAGTCATTAACTGTTGGGCTGAGCGACGTTGGTAGATGTAGACTGTCTGGTTGGGTTTTACACGATAATCGTGACCGGTGACTAAAAAGAGGTAGCATGACTCAAAATATGTATCAGCGGCAAAAATGCATTCGTAATTGTTTGGTTTTAGATCCCGAGTTCGGGAATCATTTTATACATTTTATTTTGCGAATTCACTGTTCTCGAATAATTATATTTCTCTATGCTTATTTATTTTGTCAGTACTACTATTACTATTACTTTGGTATTCATCTCGTCGTAGCGTAATAACTAAAGTTGATACACATGTCAGATTACACTTTGCTTATTGTTAGGGGTCCTATATCCAAAAATACAACATACAAGAAAAGAAAATCCTGAATCGATATGTGAAATTAAGGTAATTTTCACTCGGTCAACTCAACTGATTTTAGTCATTTCTGTTCATTAAATTCAAGTTGTAACCAGTTATTCTGTTCTTAATGCATTTTCCTTATGTTGATTATTTCACCATTATTTTGTATTCAGCGACAACTAATCAGTTTAGAGAGTTCTGTAGTTAATAATCACTGAATTAGCTGGAATATGAAACCAATCTTCTTTCGTTCCTTCCAATAAATCTTCATAACAACATTCTTCTTTTAGAGTAACTGGGGTGGGGGATAGAAGCAAGTATATAGTTCGTAGTTGTCATTTCAATTATCGCCTCTTCTCTTGGATCCGTTGCACAACTACATGTGGTTTCTTCAAAAACATCTTTCTTTTAAGAGGTCATAAGTGGTAGTATTATGTCAGTTAGTTCTGTTCGACTTACTTTTGTTTATTTTATGTTTGGATGAATTAAGCATTTTATAATTCCCAGCACCTATATCAAACATTGCACGATACGGTATCGTTCATAAGGAAATTAATTTATTCCAATAAACATTGTTGTGATCAATGTATGTTTGGGTTTCTCAGTCAATGATGAATCATTAAGTGAGTTGTATTACACAATTCATTGTTTATTTGAGATGAAATTTATTTAAACCTGATGTTTGTAAATCAAATAATAATGGTATTCTTCCTTTTGATTGTCTTTTTAGCATATTCCTACCCTAATCAATGGTATTTATTCTGTAGGCAGTCGGATAATTGTGACAGATGTTCAAGAAAGTGTTCATTGGGTCCGTTATAGACCACGCTCCGATAGCCAATTAGTTATATTTGCGGATGATACTAATCCCCGTTGGATTATACATTTAGCAGTACTGGATGCTTCAACAGTAGCAGTTTCAGATAAGTTTGGAAATGTCACTATTCTGCGTTTACCACCTAATGTTATCGATGATATTGAAGATGATCCTAGTGGCAATCGCGCGCTTTGGGACAGAGGTTTCCTTGGCGGAGCAAGTCAAAAGTGTGACGTATGTCCGAATTGTATTTTAATTTATTTTTATCAATTCTAGGTGCTATGTCATTTTTACGTCGGTGAGGTTGTTACTTGTTTACAGAAGGCCACTTTGATCCCTGGAGGTTCTGAGGGTATTGTTTATTCAACAATATCTGGTAGCATCGGAATGTTGGTTCCCTTTGCTTCTCGAGATGCCTATGATTTCTTCCAACATTTGGAGCTACATATGAGAGCTGAAGGATTATCTTTAGTTGGTCGGGAACACGTACATTATCGTTCACAACATTATCCAGTTAGAGTATGTTTAATTTCTTAAACTAAAACAAATTTGTGTGTCTACTTTTATTCTTAAGGAATGCATTTGGTGATGTTTTATTTTGTTAAATAAAAGTGCTTTTACTGAAATCACTGAATAAATATTTTGAAATCGAACTTGATTAGGATAAAATGATAATACATTTTGGTGTATCTTACCACACAAAATTAAGTTCATTTTTATAGATTTGATAATAAACGTAATACTAAAAACTACTTCTTAAAATAAACATTCACCAGTATGCACAAACACAGTATTTAAATGTACCATATTTATAAATTAATAATTTTTAGCATACACTATGTGCAAACATAATCTATATTGAATAAAAAAGCTTCAATTAGTCGTTTGGAAAATAACTCTAGATTTATTTTCAGTATTTCTAAACATTTATTTATCACTAATAATGATATAACTCCCATTTAGGAAATATAACTATTGTGATTTTCACGCTAATTTTCAGAATGTGATTGATGGTGATCTCTGTGAAATTTTCAACTCTCTAGAAGGCAGTAAACAAAGATCAATCGCTGAAGAAATGGATAAAACTCCTAGTGATATTGCTAAACGTCTGGAGGATATACGTACTCGCTTCGCGTTCTAAATTCTTGAAATAAATAAATGTAATACACGTTTTTAAGTGTGACCATGTTTTAATGTAAATAAATTTTATAATATCTCCTGACTCCAGCTTTTTTGATTGATAAATTGTGATTAAGATCTAGTAATGTGACCTTTACTAACTTTTTGCAAACTGAAGCACTAAAGAGAATTTTTAAATCATGGTCTAGTAGTTAAAATGCAAGACTGAAAACCACCTAATTTCACGTCAGGATGCACATTTGTGAATCACATTTTCTTCTTATACGCACAAGTTAGAAAAAATATTTTAAAAAGTAACATTATAGCTCAAGTGAAGTGAATTGCTCAACTGACAAAGACTAAATTTCGTTAATCATAAGTACACATCTTTAATCTATAAGAATCTCGGACATCTTCTACATAAAATAGAAACCAATACTTTGGAATGGTGTGTAATACGACTGAATAATTGTTGAATTTGTTAACTTGAAGCAGCTGTGGTGATGACGATTTGGAGTTTGGAGTGAAGGACATAGGTGCCAGATGTTGTATTGAATTGAATGAGGCTAACTGACTGACTGACTGACTGATCAGTCGAGCGTAATGTGATTCAGACAGGGTGATGTGTTTAGTTAGAGATAGGTATGATGACGTTTCGTTTAGATGGGTGTGAGACTGAATAGGTGTTTTGAGTGAGATTGAGTGAGTGTGTGTGTGTGTGTTGATGGTGACTTTGTGTATTTGTGATAATTGAGTAGTTGGATCAGTTATGTTTTGGTATTAGTGTTGATTGATGCAAGTGTGACACTACAGGTGCCTGATTCCAGTACGAGGATACAGAGTGTTAGCTTGCTACATTGTTGTTTCCGTCCTCTTCCCTGCACAGACTCTGATGCCTGTGTCAGGTGTACAGAACGGATATATATCTATTAAATTGTTGTTGTTGTGTGTGTGTGTGCGTGCGTGTGTGGTATTATTGGTGATGATGATGATGGTGGTGGTTTTGCAGTATTGTAGTTAATGTACAAGTTGTTGAGGGCTTTGTATTATAGTTGGTTGTTGTTGTGACGTGTGTTATTTGTGCATATATGGTGAGTGTATTGATGAGAGGTAAGCGAGGATTAGTTGTGCTTGTAATTGAGAGAGTGTTGTGATGGATGAGTAGGTGTAGAGACTTGATATGAGTGAATTGTTTATTTGACTGTTGGAGTGGATTGTGAAGGGGAATAATTCGGTGTTATCTGAGCCTGTATTCGTGATGTGAGTATGAGGTCAAGTGGACACCGTACAATGAGTGACAGATGTCGCACGACTTGTCTGTGTTTGGCAAGGACGGAGACTGTGAGTAATCAGACAGTTGTTTATCATTCGACGGTTTTTGAGTGAACATTGATTATTTGTCGATGGGACTGTAGAGTTAGTGTGAGAGTGTAGTTGTGTGTGTGTGTGTGAGAGTGTAGTTGTGTGTGTGGAATGACAAACATTTGTTGTGTTTGTCAAATGAAGGTGTAGTGTGAGTGGTTTTCTGATGAGTGTTGGTGTTGATCGTTCGTACTGAGATTGTGGATGGATGGGCAGACGCTGTGATCGTGGGAAGTCACTGTGTCTGTTTCTTTCTTTTGTGCGTTTTTGGGTTGTGTGTTTTAAGTTCGATCAGCTCTTCTACATGATGCTTGCAAGTTCTACCAGTTATACTGAATGTGATCCGAATGATTGTGATGACTGGTGTTTTAAGCATTGTGGGGAGGTGGATCGGTGGAGTGTTTTTGTAATATCTCGACTGTTTTCACTGAATACTCTGTAATGTCAATGTAGTGTGTTTATGCTGATGGTTTTGGCTTCGATTGTTGACGTGTTTATTTGTGGAATAGACATTATACGAGGTGTGTGTTTTGATGCTGCCCGATCGTGTGTTTGTGATATGTGTGTGTGGGTCGGTGGAGTTGGTTCGGTGATGATGCTGATATGTGATGGTTGAATTGTAGTGTATATTTGACTGGTGTGTGTGTGTGTGTGTGTGTGAGTGTAGTCGGACGTTGAAGTGATTGGTGTAGTATTGAATGGTATTGATGATGGGATTTCAGTTTGTGTTGGTGTTTTGATTTTGGTGTCCAAAGACCACTGTACCGATTTGCAAGGTATGCGTTGGGGGACGGGACACCTACATGAATCTATGATGTCGCATTCTGGAACTCGGTAGAGTATAGTTCCGGTGTACATCGGACATTGTTTGTGAAGTTGTCTTTGTGTGATTTGGATAGGAATTTGTATTTGTGTAACGGGAGACGAGTGATTGTGTGTTTACATAGGAGAGGCTGTTTGTTTGGAATTAGAGGATTGTTTGAGATTTGTGTGTGTGTGTGTGTGTGTGTGGAATTTGTTTGGTTGTCAGTGGAATGTGACTGTTTTGTTGTTGATGTTGTTAATTTGAAGCAGCTGTGGTGATGACGATTTGGAGTTTGGAGTGAAGGACATAGGTGCCAGATGTTGTATTGAATTGAATGAGGCTAACTGACTGACTGACTGACTGATCAGTCGAGCGTAATGTGATTCAGACAGGGTGATGTGTTTAGTTAGAGATAGGTATGACGACGTTTCATTTAGATGGGTGTGAGACTGAATAGGTGTTTTGAGTGAGATTGAGTGAGTGTGTGTGTGTGTGTTGATGGTGACTTTGTGTATTTGTGATAATTGAGTAGTTGGATTAGTTATGTTTTGGTATTAGTGTTGATTGATGCAAGTGTGACACTACAGGTGCCTGATTCCAGTACGAGGATACAGAGTGTTAGCTTGCTACATTGTTGTTTCCGTCCTCTTCCCTGCACAGACTCTGATGATTGTGTCAGGTGTACAGAACGGATATATATCTATTAAATTGTTGTTGTTGTGTGTGTGTGTGCGTGCGTGTGTGGTATTATTGGTGATGATGATGATGGTGGTGGTTTTGCAGTATTGTAGTTAATGTACAAGTTGTTGAGGGCTTTGTATTATAGTTGGTTGTTGTTGTGACGTGTGTTATTTGTGCATATATGGTGAGTGTATTGATGAGAGGTAAGCGAGGATTAGTTGTGCTTGTAATTGAGAGAGTGTTGTGATGGATGAGTAGGTGTAGAGACTTGATATGAGTGAATTGTTTATTTGACTGTTGGAGTGGATTGTGAAGGGGAATAATTCGGTGTTATCTGAGCCTGTATTCGTGATGTGAGTATGAGGTCAAGTGGACACCGTACAATGAGTGACAGATGTCGCACGACTTGTCTGTGTTTGGCAAGGACGGAGACTGTGAGTAATCAGACAGTTGTTTATCATTCGACGGTTTTTGAGTGAACATTGATTATTTGTCGATGGGACTGTAGAGTTAGTGTGAGAGTGTAGTTGTGTGTGTGTGTGTGAGAGAGTGTAGTTGTGTGTGTGGAATGACAAACATTTGTTGTGTTTGTCAAATGAAGGTGTAGTGTGAGTGGTTTTCTGATGAGTGTTGGTGTTGATCGTTCGTACTGAGATTGTGGATGGATGGGCAGATGCTGTGATCGTGGGGAGTCACTGTGTCTGTTTCTTTCTTTTGTGCGTTTTTGGGTTGTGTGTTTTAAGTTCGATCAGCTCTTCTACATGATGCTTGCAAGTTCTACCAGTTATACTGAATGTGATCCGAATGATTGTGATGACTGGTGTTTTAAGCATTGTGGGGAGGTGGATCGGTGGAGTGTTTTTGTAATATCTCGACTGTTTTCACTGAATACTCTGTAATGTCAATGTAGTGTGTTTATGCTGATGGTTTTGGCTTCGATTGTTGACGTGTTTATTTGTGGAATAGACATTATACGAGGTGTGTGTTTTGATGCTGCCCGATCGTGTGTTTGTGATATGTGTGTGTGGGTCGGTGGAGTTGGTTCGGTGATGATGCTGATATGTGATGGTTGAATTGTAGTGTATATTTGACTGGTGTGTGTGTGTGTGTGTGTGTGAGTGTAGTCGGACGTTGAAGTGATTGGTGTAGTATTGAATGGTATTGATGATGGGATTTCAGTTTGTGTTGGTGTTTTGATTTTGGTGTCCAAAGACCACTGTACCGATTTGCAAGGTATGCGTTGGGGGACGGGACACCTACATGAATCTATGATGTCGCATTCTGGAACTCGGTAGAGTATAGTTCCGGTGTACATCAGACATTGTTTGTGAAGTTGTCTTTGTGTGATTTGGATAGGAATTTGTATTTGTGTAACGGGAGACGAGTGATTGTGTGTTTACATAGGAGAGGCTGTTTGTTTGGAATTAGAGGATTGTTTGAGATTTGTGTGTGTGTGTGTGTGTGTGTGTGTGGAATTTGTTTGGTTGTCAGTGGAATGTGACTGTTTTGTTGTTGATGTTGTTAATTTGAAGCAGCTGTGGTGATGTTGATTTGGAGTTTGGAGTGAAGGACATAGGTGCCAGATGTTGTATTGAATTGAATGAGGCTAACTGACTGACTGACTGACTGATCAGTCGAGCGTAATGTGATTCAGACAGGGTGATGTGTTTAGTTAGAGATAGGTATGATGACGTTTCGTTTAGATGGGTGTGAGACTGAATAGGTGTTTTGAGTGAGATTGAGTGAGTGTGTTTGTGTGTGTGTTGATGGTGACTTTGTGTATTTGTGATAATTGAGTAGTTGGATTAGTTATGTTTTGGTATTAGTGTTGATTGATGCAAGTGTGACACTACAGGTGCCTGATTCCAGTACGAGGATACAGAGTGTTAGCTTGCTACATTGTTGTTTCCGTCCTCTTCCCTGCACAGACTCTGATGATTGTGTCAGGTGTACAGAACGGATATATATCTATTAAATTGTTGTTGTTGTGTGTGTGTGTGTGCGTGCGTGTGTGGTATTATTGGTGATGATGATGATGGTGGTGGTGGTTTTGCAGTATTGTAGTTAATGTACAAGTTGCTGAGGGCTTTGTATTATAGTTGGTTGTTGTTGTGACGTGTGTTATTTGTGCATATATGGTGAGTGTATTGATGAGAGGTAAGCGAGGATTAGTTGTGCTTGTAATTGAGAGAGTGTTGTGATGGATGAGTAGGTGTAGAGACTTGATATGAGTGAATTGTTTATTTGACTGTTGGAGTGGATTGTGAAGGGGAATAATTCGGTGTTATCTGAGCCTGTATTCGTGATGTGAGTATGAGGTCAAGTGGACACCGTACAATGAGTGACAGATGTCGCACGACTTGTCTGTGTTTGGCAAGGACGGAGACTGTGAGTAATCAGACAGTTGTTTATCATTCGACGGTTTTTGAGTGAACATTGATTATTTGTCGATGGGACTGTAGAGTTAGTGTGAGAGTGTAGTTGTGTGTGTGTGTGTGTGTGTGTGTGTGTGTGTGGAATGACAAACATTTGTTGTG